ATTGAAAGTATCTAAAACGGTTATATGATTTTGAAGAATTTCCTCCTTAGAAAGGGAGGTATGGATGTAAGTTGGATTTCCACCCGTAGAATTAAATCCTAGTTCCTCTAATATACAATTCAAATAGTGAGCCTTACAAACAAAGACAATGTTGTTACCAACTGAAAACATTAGCTGTGGCCTTCAATTCGACATTCAGATATATCGACGATGTTTTATCAATTAACAATAGTTATTTCTCATTCGTATGTCGACTCGATACACCCGGTATCCCAGTGAACTTGAAAACAACCACAGAGTCTGCCACATTTCTTTCATATGTAGATGGTTTAAATGTTTCACTGACTATAGACGATAAAGGCCAATTAACAACTAAATTGTATGACAAACGAGATGACTTTAGCTTTTCCATCGTCAACTTTCCTTTTTATGTAGCAATATTCCACTAGCATCTGCCTATGGTGTTTATGTCTCCCAACCTAATCGCTACCCAAGAGCTTGCTCTGAGTACGATCAAATCTTAAAGCGAGACAGGTTACTTACTGATATGTTGATGATACAGGGATTTCAACAGCCTCGTTTTAAGTAAGCATTTCGTAAATTTTATAGTCGTTATAGTGACCTTGTTAACAAATATAACATATCATTGGATCGTATTTTGGCTGACTTGTTTCATACCAATTGTTAGGATTTTGTTTTTGTACTGAATTGACTACGGATAGTTTCGTCTACCTGATTAATACACAGGGCTTACGGCGGGTGTGACCAGTCATCAGGGGATGCTTACTCCTCCTTGGCACCTGATCCCACCTCAGGAATTTTCAGGGGTCCGTGTTTTATGCCCTCTTCACATATTTGTATTGTTTATGGATTTTTTTTTTAGATCAATCACTGTTCGGTATCTTTACCTTATACATTAGGCCGGCAATGAGCCTAAACTCATAACAAGCATCAGCAAAGCAGGTGATATGCCACTGCAGTGCTTCCTCCTCTGTATATCTTTGTCTTTGCTCTGAGTGACGCCAGATTTAAGAAGTCCTCATCACTCCTAGTGTGGAGAAAAATGCCATCTTCATTCTTGAAGACGTTTTGCACCAGCAACAAAATAAAGATGCCAAAGATTGTTGGTGCCAGCACACATCCTTGCTTAACACCATTTATGATTTGGAAGGGATTTTAGCTTGATCCATCATATTGGAAAGTGCCAGTTATGCCGTTTTGAAAGGACATGATCATACTTAAGAGCTTCGGAGGACAACCAATCCTGTATAGAAGCGAGGAACCCCTTCTGATGATCAGTTTGAATTCTTTATCAGGTCAATAAAAGCAAGGTACAAATGTCGTTTCTGTTCACAGCATTTTTCCTGAGGCTGCCAGAGGGAGATCACCCTGTCGATTGTTGATCTGACCGCGCTGATTCCACATTAATCGTTAATCGTTGGAGTCTTGATACTACACGAACAAAGACTTTTCTAACAATGCTGAGAGGAGAGATTCCGCAGTATTGGTTTGCATGTCAATAGTCTTTGTAAGCTCTTCAGTGGATGGTGGTGTATTTCAAAAGATCCATAATTGGTAGAATAATGGTACTAGCACTCTCAATGTTTGAGTCGATGACTATACTTTCTCTGGAATAAATTTCTTGGTCATTTTATGCCCATCTTTCTACCTGTCAGTAATATCGCCTGATGTGGATTTAAGAGGGACAATCTTGCATGCACAAAGAGCAAAAGCTTTCCTCATCCTCTAGTAAATGGATCGGATATTATAGTAGAGATTTGGATGTCACGAAACAGGTTCAACAAGTGGTCATTTGGATACTTTCGAGCGACCCGTTGTACATTGCTGTTCTTGAGGCATAAAGTGTTTCCTCGGTAGGATGCTTTTTATATGCATGTAATATCAAGTGAATGTTGCTCTCACTTTTTGGGCAATTCACAAGGGCTTCGCTTAATGCTATTGTGAATTGCTCACGTAGACCTCGCAAAGATGTTCCATCAGTGTTGTTTTATGGACGGCCTTTCTCCTCGGATCAAGGGCTACATTTTGGTTGTATGTGTTCTCTGTTGCTGACTAAGGAGTGGTCAGTATTGCAGACTGCATTGTAATAGGTGCATGTGAAAAGCAAATTTCTGACGAATGGTCTCTTAGTGATAATAAGGTCCAGCTTGTATCAGGCTTTTGACCTGGGATGCCTCCATGCCACTCTTTGATGTGGTTTGGTATGGAATAATATGCTTGGAACATAGTTCAAGTAGTCGCTGCCTGTTCTCAATGAGCTTGCCAATTCCAAAGTGCCCAATGCATAGGACCAGGAACTGTATTCTGAACCATCCGGAGCTTTAGAGTCACCAAGCATGTATAATTCCCCTTTTAGAGAAAACTCTCCAATCTTTGAATCAAGTTCCTCATAAAATGCATTTTTGAACAAGTATGGAACACATAGTGTAGGGGCGTATATGCTGAATATGTTTACATGTGAAAAATTAAAACTAAAAACTTAATTCTTCAGAGAACACTTGGAGGATTTTCAATCTTTCAATCAGAGGTGAAGAGGCGTAGGGAAATAATTCGTGCAGTCTCCTTGGTTGGAAATTTAACTGATAAAATAAAGAGTTGTTCCATACACAAAATCAACCCCATGAAGCCTGCATTCGTATGCCTCGAGCCCTTGGCAAGAGAACGTGTAATCCCTCTCTACACTCAGACTATTTCCGCAACATGTCTTATGTAGTGCCTCCCCGTGATAGCAGATGGATACCGAGTACTTTTTAGACCCAGGCAAAATTACAGAGGGGTAGACTGGACTTCGTACCCTAGTAAGGAGTCTCGTCTAGTATACAGATTTTATATTGTTTTACGTCCCATTCGTGAATGTCTTCACTCATTTAGAGACATCACCATAAACCGGTGAAGGGCTTCAAATTTAGACTTAAACTCGGCCCTCACAGGGTCATTGAGCATTGAGGGTTCTTTATCGTAGCAACGCCTACCGTGACACCTGACCTCGGTTTCTAAAGTCTCATCCGAAAGACCCGTGACTTTCGCTTCCAATGCCGGGAGCTTGGCGATGAACAGTAATCCAATATTCACGTTGTAGGTTTGAAGCAGCGCAGCGAAAGCGAATCAAACTCGGGCCTCCCAATCACGAAATGAATGCTCTACTACTAGGCTATCGTGACCGGTTAGTCTAGAAGAAAGTATACCCTGATTTCAAACTAGGTCGGTAGCGACCGCAAGCCTAAGGAGGCAACTACTCAAGGAAAAAGAAAAACCCGAAAATAAGAATTCAGGATTAAACAGTAGCCATGGGAGTAACCCCTGACAAAACCCCAGAGTGGAGCCCTGCAGGCATTTTGGCGAACCCTGTGATATCCTCCGACAATTCCTGTTGCATCGATGGTCCGACCGTATCAGCTTGTCCTTTTCATCATAAAATGCCAGCAAGGCTGAGAGGGAGGTTCTGACATCTGAGTAACCCAGGATTTCCATACAAATCTGCACAGGCCTACGCCCTGGAGAGGTCACTTCAAAGAACTAAAGATAAAGATCTGATAAGCAGACTGAAAATTCTGCACCAGTAAAAAAGAACCAATACGGGTAATAACAGTCTCGTGTTATAAGTTTGTCACCGTCTCGCTAGCCTAAAACCGTGTACCCCAAGTCAGTTAGATGTTGACACGCCACGGTCTGCCTGTTTCAATTGGTGCTTGGAATTAAAAATGAAAATCTAATAAGCAGATTGAACAAACAACAAAACAAAAAGAAACTGCCAGTCCTTTGGCTGGTCATCGACATTGCCGCTCTGTACGAGGTATGAATCCCCTCAATATCTGCTGAATGTTGTGCGATGCTTCTAGTGTTGGTGTTTGCGTCTGTGTGTTTGTCACTTCCCACTTACAGTCCTCACTGCTGGCTTAAAGAAATGCAAAAAGAAGGATAGAAAAGGGCATAATGGTAACCTTACAACAAAACTTTAGCATAAAAGTGATGAATTCAACTTTTCTATCGTCAGCTTCCCTTATCTATGTAGCAATATACCCTTATCACCTGCATATTGAGTTAATGTCTGCCAGTTGATTCGATACGCAGCTCTACGTAAAATTTCTAAAACAAGGCAAGCATTTGACAAACAAGTTGATGAAACAAGGACATCAACAGTCTTGTTTGAAGTCAACATTTCCATGTTCTACGGTCGATAAAATAATATTGTCAGCAAATACAATCTATCATTAAGTCGAATGCTGATTGACGTTTTTCATACTAACCCGTAGGCCAATATTTACACACTGAATAGTCTGCGGATTTTTTCGTTTGCCCAACCATGACAAGGAGCACACGACGATTGTGACCGGTCGACAGGGGATGCTTACTCCTCAATGGCACCTGATCCCACCTCTGATGCTTTTAGAGGTTTTTTGCTCTACTCCCGATTTGTATTGTTTTAATTGACGTTTGAGCTTGATTACTGTTCCTTATCTCCATATTTCATATATACCACTCTCTCCCAGTATGTAGTCTCTCCATTTATGAAGTCCATTTAACTTGTAATAAAATTTATTTTCACTTTATTTTTGCAAACTAATATTTTATATACATGTATGTCAGAACAAGCATAATAAAAAAAAATATGAAATTAATAATCGGAAGGTCTTTAAGAATAAAAAGGTTATAACAGCAAGAAAAATCGTAAGAACCTTATAATTTACAACAATGATACAGACCTTCACATTCTTCGAGGAGACAAACATTTGATTCTGAAAGGGGAGGGGCTGGCAATTCAGATTATTTGTTTTCATGCCATTCAAGGACAGATTATTTATTTTCTTTTTCACTTAAAAAAGTTTGACTGGGACAAATATTAAAAAGGAAAACGCCCATACTCTGTTTAATTGGGGGTGGGGTTGGGGGTTGAAGCATTAGCCAAGGACCGATTATTCATTTTCTTGCCAGTCGAGGACAGATTATTTATTTTAAAAATCTCTCACCCCCCCCCCCCTCCTCCTAAGAATTATACATTGGTCGTCCCCCTATGCGTCAATAATTTTTTCCAAGCAAGTGTCTTAATCTGACTCAATTAAGCAACAGGGTTCTGAGCTTTGCCAAAGCCCGTTCCATGAAGTCTACAGATCGTGCCTCTGTCGATTGAGTCTCTTTTACAGAACCCCGTCTTTCTCTAACGATCTCATAGACCCAGTATAACATTTGTTGAAGTTCCATTCCATTATCAGAAATCACTGACGTCACGAACGTCTCACAAGGTCTACGTTTCCTGATTTCTGACACTCCAAACGCATCTTGTATCGTTGAAATTGTCATGTGGTTAGGTTTATCCCATTTATGAAAGGCTATGGCTAGTGGAATATTCTGCAACTCGGGCTCAGACAAATGTCTCATTAACTCCTCTTTAGCTCTTTCAAGTCCATCTTCATCACTACTATCCACAACAAAAATGAGGGCGTCGTTGTTTGAATAATAATGTCTGTACAATGGCCGAATTTTATCTCGCCCCCCAACATCCCATCCAGTCAAAGTCAACCGCTTGTTTATCAATGTTTCAACATTAAAGCCAATCGTGGGTATCGTTGTTACAACTTCTCCAAGTTTAGTATAGTGTAGAATGCTGGTTTTACCCGAGTCGTACAATCCCAACACCATAATCCTCACAGGATGTCTCTTAGCAGATGAATTCCCCATACTGTTGCTAAATTATGATTAAGACATATTTTATGTATTCAATATCACTTTGCAGCTTACATGCATTAGTTCCACGTCATCCATTACAGGTGTACAATAATATGTTGTCAATGTAAATTATTTATATGATATTAGTATGAACACCGAGCCCGACCTGAACCTTATTCATTGCAGTCTGTTACACTGAGGTATTGAAAAACACATTGAACAATTCTCGTGAATTGCAATAACTACTTGAAAAATGCCAGGAATAAAGTTTATCAGAATACAACAGAGTGAGATAATCACTCTGTAGTTGTAGATAAAAGTAATAAATGAAGCTCGTATTGCCGCCACTGAAAATTATACATATAAACGCATGACATAATTAAGGATGTAAAATTACTTAAATTAGTTCTTATATTTAATAAAAGGAAGCATATGATCAATGAATAAGGAAAATTTGTCACGCTGTAAAACCACCAATAGAAATATCACGAAGCTGAAAATTACCCAAAAAGCTTAGGAAAAAGAAAACAAGAGAACAAAACTTAATGATTGAAAAATTGTGTCGGTCGAGGTATCTAGAAAGTAGATTAAAAAATATGGTACCATACAAGAAATGTTAATTTGTTTGTTGTTTATTTTTGCCACTGAGAAAACTGAATAGAAGAAGGTAATTAATACACTTCCTTCTCATCCTTGTTAAAATTAATGTTACAGTAACACATTCCTCGTGAACACTGTAGGATATTTATGTATGATTTTACTGTTAATGAACTGCTGTTTTTACGTACTGGTTTAAATACAGGTGGAGACTCTTTCCAGTCATAATGACTAGAATAAATCCAGTGTTGGACAACTTCATATCACGGATATCAATGTCTTTATACCCTTTGGTGGCAAACTATCATGTTGTAAATTTTGTATATTTACTGCCAACCGGTAAATTCAAATTTACAAAATGATAAAACTATAGTGTAACAATAATTTATATGGTTTTGGGATATGGTGTTTCGAGTTAAACCTTATTCATATTTTTTTTCATAATTAACGTTGTAAACTGTAATCCACACTAGTAAGCTACAGTTTTACAAAAAAACTAATAAATACAGTAAAAATTGTAAGGTATATATGTTTTCGATCGAGCTATGAAATATAGCATCATATTAAAAAATCCTGATACAAAACGAGTTATTGTCGTTAAACTTTTCCAACGTTAAACAATGTTTATTTATTAGTTATGAATTAGAAACCCTTACAAGCCGAGTCACATACAGTAATATTAAAGTCATATATGGCGTATTTTTGATAAGTTCAGACTAACTAAAATTAAAAAGATCTTTCTATTTGTTTTATTACTTTATATAAAGATAGCACTTTCCTGTAAATTACACAATTTAAATCAATCGCGTTTCATAAATATTAGAAATTTAAAACAATAACCTATTTATTTACCGACTCCGCATTTATATATGAGATACAGTTTAAAGTCAATTTAACTACAGAAACGTGGGAATATTCAAGCTCAAAATAGGTGAAAATTTTAATTTGAACGTAAATAACAAATATTAAGTTCATCTGCACTCGATCTTGTATTTTTATTTTTTAGCTCAGACACGCCATATATAGCTTTAACTATCATCTATAGTTGCTAGCGAAAGTTTTTTTTTACTCGTGAATTATTTTTATCAGATAAACCCTGTTAACACTTGTCAATTATAGCGTCATTGATAAATAAATACATGAATTGTGCATCATGGCACAATGAACAATGAACACATTGAACAATAGAGATGTTAAATTGAATTTAACTACACTTTATACCCTGTAAATGGTTGACAATTGATAAACTCCCTTTCACTCATTTTTGTGAATTTGGTCTGTTATAAATAAGCTTACGCATGTCTTCTTTGTATAGAGTATTTATGTTTTTCTCTAACCCGGAGTCCGTTAAATTTGTTATCGTTTACTGATATAAAGACAGTCCCCGTATTTTCTTAAACTTGCTTAAATTTAATGAACACAATCGGACACAGTATGAATTGATTACTGAAATTTCTCGACTTGATTTTCTTCAAGTACAATTTTGACTTAAAGAAATTGCAGAAAACTTTTTTAAATTAAACTCTTAAAATTTACAAAATCTGCCGTTCGGCAAGGTTGGAGTCGGTGGTTCGAGCGCTCTGGCTCTCCCTTTCCATCTCCCACATAATCGAACATAACATTTTAAAATACACCGTAACCAACAAATGGAAAATACAAAAGTATAGCGTTAAATTAAGAGCTCCGATAAACCACCCATGCATTTTGTGCATAAATCATGCACTAATATTGCTTCAATCAAGTGCTTCACAAATTACCAGAAAACACCCACAGGCGCTTGACGTTTTTAACCTTTCTTTCAATAAATAAAAAATCCCCCATACTATAATAATAACCTTGTTATTATTATAGTATGGGGGATTTTTTATTTATTGAAAGAAAGGTTAAAAACGTCAAGCGCCTGTGAAAACACCAATACAACTTTCAAAGTATAAAAGCGTCCAATATTTTAGCCAGTTATGCAATTTCTCAAAATGAAGAATTAACATATTGACAAAGCTGTCTCCAGTCGTTTTGTTATACAGTTTTTGTTAGGGGGTGATTTTATATATTAAAAGAACCTTTAAAGAAGTCTTTAATAAAAGAGACAAATCAATGCATTCATGTAAATGTCTTATACTAATTTACAATAGAAAATGACAAATTAATCGTTTTAGTGTATACAGAATTTAAACGCTACTATTTTTTTTTTTTTCAAAAAGCATCATGATAAATACTTCACCTGTTTTCTTGCAAAAGTAGATGTAAACAATTGAATACTAGTAATCGTAAGATTTGTAAGGTTTGGGTAATTTGTCTGAATTCTGTCCAGCATGCATCACTTCTCAACAGACATTCTAGATGTTAAGGACATTTTTTTAATATAGATTTAGAATCAATTTTAAAAAACACAATTGATTCAAATATGAGTGATTCCCATTATATATCAGCTTTATCCAGTCATCCGTATTAGTGAAGTCAGTGACCAAAAATAATCGTATTTTGTAAAATGTTATTATCTGCATCAAGACAACAAACTGATCAAAAGTTGTTTACGAAATAAAAATGTATACTGTCAATCAAACATCATGCTTTTCATTTTCATAATCGGTTGCCACATGTAAGTAGAAAATCGATCCACTTTTGGATTTATTAATGAAAGTCCATTTCGTCGTTTGGCTGTTTCCTCGGTAACCCATTCCATTAATTCATTGAACTCCGTTTTCACTTCGTCAGTTGGTCTGATTGTCGTCAGAAAAGCTTCACAAGGCCGATCTTTCCGGATTTCTTAATATTTAATTTTTCCAGTATCTCTTCTTTCGTCATACAGTAGGGAAGATCTCTCTTATTCAGAGCAAGAGCAATAGGAACACCCTTCAGTTCATCTTCAGACAGAAGTCTATGGAGTTCCTCTTTCACCTCTGTAATTCTATCTCTATCGACACTGTCCACAACAAACACCAGAGCCTGGGTGTTCTGGAAGTAATGCCTCCAGAGTGGCCTCATTTTATCCCGAGTTCCTACATCCCATACTGTCAAGTCCAGATTCTTGAATTTCAATGTCTCCACATTAAATCCTATGGTAGGAATGGTGGTGACAACTTCTCCGAGATGTAGATAGTACATAATGCTGGTTTTCCCGGCAGTATCCAAACCCAACATCAAAATCCGCACTTGTTCACGTCGGCAAAATATACCAGCCAAATTCCCCATTTTGTCTTCTTTGAATAACCAGTGTACCTACATATCTATGTGCTTCTATATTTAAAACTGTCACTTCCTCCACGTCAATAAAGATTGCAAAATCGGAAGTAATGTAACCAAAGTAAATAAACAATCTCATGTGGACATCGAGCCCGATGTAAAATAAAATGCACTGTTTACTTCATGTTACACTATGTTGTCGAGTTACAAAAGCACTTGCGTCAATGCGAAAAAATCCTCAAGTTTATTTAAACAGATAAGACGGGTCTCAACGGACTTACTGATAAAATATGCAGCGCCGATAAAATTGGAATTAAAATTTATCTGTTTTACCGCAGAATTTCGATCTAAAAATAAATAGGTATATAGTGCACGGCACTCCAGATGTCTATGAAGGTCGCTGGGGCGGCTGCTTCAACAGTTCAAAATATTGAGCACACGAGTCACATACACTATAAATCTAAAGAGGTTGTAGTAACGTTCATTTGTCATTCATAAATAGCTGGGACAGTCGCGCAGCTGACACAGATATTAAGTAGTACACAAGGTGAACTATGGCGGGAGAGCGATTGTACAGTTTTCAGACCGGACAGAAGAATGAATTCCAGATTGTGGATTATATTCTCTTTGCAGGATTACTGTTTTGTTCTGCAGGGATTGGATTATTCTATGCCATCAAAGACAGGCAGAAATCTAACACAAAGGACTTTTTACTTGCTGGAGGAGACATGAACCCAATACCAGTGGCTTTGTCCCTCCTGGCAAGTTTCATGTCCGCTATCACTCTCCTGGGGACCCCTGCAGAAATGTACAACTACACCACGATTTACTGGTGGATAGGCCTGGGCTATTTTTTCGTTATTCTTGGAGGAGCCCATGTTTATATGCCTGTATTTTACAGACTTCGCGTAACCAGTTCATATGAGGTAAAATCTGCGCTTGCATATTTATCACAGCAAATAATACATGACATGAAGATATGGTTTGAAATATATTATAAAGATATACCATCCCCAAAAAGATGCCAAGATACAACCATCTTAATACCTTATTACAACCGATTAATAAGCCAACGTAACTGGAAATCACACAATCTATGTAATGAATATCATTAAACTCTAATTTCAGTATTTGGAACATCGGTTCGGGAAGATTTCTAGGACGATTGGTGCCATTATATATGTAACTCAAATGGTGAGTAGTGTACAGGTGAAAACCTTCATCCACAAAACAGTTTATAATGCCACAGCTGTTCAATATTTTTAGTTCAAGTTACACAGCGACCAGGCAGTTCAAATACACT